TGTATATATGTCAAGCAGAGTGAGGGTCTAATTACTCAAGTTTGAGGTGATTGGCAATAAACGTGTGTACACGTGGTAGTTGGTGTGGTTCAATTGGCAAGGTTGTGGCAACCTTCACTCAGGTGAATCATTCCGTTGGGCGGTTCCCATGCCTCGCTCGCTCGTCGAGGACTATCAGCATCATCAGTTGCTACTCTCCAACATCAGCACAGCCTTTCCATAAAAATTTTACCTTCATGAAGGAAAAATAACACCGACGCAGAATTGCCAGTTGAGGTGGTGCGATGTCATGCATCATGCGCGTCGACAAGATGGACGATAATTGGACAACACCAACACCACCGATGCTTTAAATGGAATTTCTTCAATACAGAAACTATGGTTCCATCGCTCGATTGTTGTACCTGCTTCTTCTTAGCTCTCATTTCCTGCACATCAATAAAGTATTGACTGCGCCCTGCAGTATCGAAAAGGGCACGGAGGTCGGCGTTTGTGGGCACTGTCACCGTCACTCGATTCGTTGACATGCTTGCAAAGACAGCCCTCCTTCACACTGTTGCAGCAAACCAAGAACGCTTTCAGTTGAAAATTCAAGACCTGTACACTATTCCGATGTGGAGCTCAGAATGAATACTTCTAGAAACTCAGCAACTGAATGGTGGTGGTGCAAGCACACCGAATACGAAACAACATAATGAAGTGCTTGCCTGCTCGCTGAAGAAAGACTTGGTTGCTAGTTTGTTGAAGAAGCGCAAGCACATGCTTCCCAGGAAATCGTGATAGCATCTGTCCTCCGTCTTTTGTGGGCTACGATCGCCCAGTTTGAGAGCTCTAGAGTTCTAAATACTTGTGTTATAGATAGAACGCACGTAACTGATTGTGAGTAACGAAATCATGACAAAAACTGCGGTATTTCCTGTATGGATTAGGGGATTATGTGCTGCATCGATGATGTGTACAGCACTGCAATGATTTTTAGGGGGCATTTTGTTGCCTAATGCACATGTACAGCTGTGCTCCAAGATTTTGAAGCACAGCTGTACATGTGCATTAGGCAACAAAATGCAAATTTTGGGACGGGGCTCGTCTTTTGTCGAGTTTGAACTCCGCTATCGAACAAATTTTTAGCTATCTTTTAGGTGAAAATTGACAGATCATCGTTTAAAAAATTGTTGTTTGTTTCTCTCATCTTATGATTGCATATTTACGAAAAGTCATTGTTTGTTTGCCCAAAAATTAAAAAATATTCGGGAAGAACTTACTTGAAAGCTATTGAGACAGTTTAAAATTCAGCACTTCCAGAAGATGCAGAAATACAAAATCTGAGGGAGCGAATCTGTTGATCTACAGACCCTGGCAAATCAAATGTTGCCTTCCCCTTTCCCTTTCCACTTAAAGTGACACAGACCTTAGTCAGTTATTCGCGTCGATAAAAGCGCAACCAGAACCAAGCAGAACACAAATTTGTGTTGTAAATAAAGGGAGCGCAGCAAGGTTTGATTTCCGAGTAATTTTTTTGTTTAAATTTTCAGAAGGTTTCAACATTTTTCAAAAATTTACATTATATTTTCAGATGGGGATTCAAGCCGCATTCTGAGAATATTTCTTGCACAAATAATGATTTTAGTAGTTTACTATTTAGAACTCGACGGATGCAAAAAAGAAGCTTTAGGCCCCCGCCAGAGTGCGACGCCACGCCAGCGCTGCGCCAGCGCCGAACCAGCGCCGAGCTGTCCCATTTATTCGGGGCGGAGCTAGCTGACCCTGTGCGGGCAAGGGCTACCGGAGCTTCTGGCAGATACGCTCAATAGGCGGTGCATCTACCTGGCTGAGAACTAGGTCAGCTAGCCCCGCCCCAACGTAATGTACGTGTATCGATCGAAACGGCGCCGGGGCAGCCCGGCGCTAGCTCAGCGCTGGCGTGGCTTCCGAACTCTGGCGGGAGCCTTAAAGGCACCGTCCATTTGGAGTGAGAGTGATGAAACTTCGATCTTATATAACAACGGGGTTCTAAACAAACAATCGCCCAAGGCTCGTTCCTAAAGGCGTATTCTAAAGCGAGGATACCTCTAAAAGATAGAAGCGACCATGATGGCTCCGCCCATCAACCTGGGTGGTCCGAGACGCAAGTTCGGGGTAAACAGAAAGATCACAAATTCAAAGACGGACATAACATGCCGAATCCATTGAAGCCTCAAGTTTTGACTTGAGGGAGGGGGGGGGGGGGTGACCAGCCTTCAGTAGCGGTTTTCTCGCTTCGGAATTTATATGCTGCAGCAAGACTTGGGCGATTACTTAGCTGGAAGTCCCCCACCATATAAGATCAAAATCTCATCTCTCCAACTTGGGTGGACGGTGCGTTTTAGTGGCACTCAACAGGCGCGGAAATTCTTTCCACCAAAGGTTGACCCCTTACCGCTGATGCCGCTTCTACCGATGTTGGCGCTGTTGCCGCTGTTATCACCTCGACCGCAGATGTGTCGAATGATAAAGTGATCATCCTCCCGTAAGCGATCTTGCTGGTAATTACGTCATGTTTCTTATCAAAAACATGTGAGAACCAGTGGCCGGATTCATCAACGAACTTGAGGTTAAAATCTACCTTGAGAGCATCCCTCAAGGTAGAATTTAATCTTAAGGTAACTTTGCTATTCACAAATCTACCTTAAGGTTAAAATCTACCTGGTGGTCAGCTGAATACTCATTGACTCTTATTCAGGACACGCCATGACTATTAGCGGTGCATGGAGTTTTTCGCTATAAGGGTTTCTTTTAATTGCCAAATGAGTACAGACTTACATAGTATAGGTCCAATTGCCGTGTTTTAGCAGGAAAGCATTCTAAGACACCGTCATATCGATGAAAAGCGCCCAAGAGTGCCGAAAAGCGCATGAGCGCCAGAATGATTCTCTCACGAGCTCGACTTTTGCGCTGAAGCGTTAGGTTTGAAACATGTTGATACTAGAACAACTACGCGTTCATTCACAATTATCATGACACATCTTCCGACCACACTCAGTGTTGGAAAGCTTCACCATAAAACTGTTGTAGCTTTCTAAACTTTCACAACGCTATTTGCATGCCACTTTTGTTTTTTAAGCTGATAGACTTTCGACCGCTAAGAGGATAGCTACTTACACGTACAAATTACTTTGATGCATAGTTCATAATCGTTGCTCGCACTTGATAACTTTGCGAATCAACAGTTTGAGATAACTCAGAAATTGATTGAACTCTGGCTTGATGTCATCATCATGATTCCTAACTTACATTTTCAAAAGATAACGAGTTCCTTTCCCGCAATTCACAATTAGCTGTAGCGTTGACTGGTGCTTCCAAAAGGATTGCTAAAAGTGGCGTTCCGGCGCTTTTGAGAGATTTTGGGCTCGCTTTTGTGCGGAGTATAAAAGGTCCCTATATAGGCAATCATTTCCATGATTAAGCGTTTCAATTGAGTTTTATCAGATACATACTCTTCATGACTATCAGAGTGTAAGTAGAGTTAAATTTGAGCTGCACCATATGAATCTCGACCTATAAGCCGATTGCCAACGATCGACATATACTGTGACCGCCAAAAAGTTGCGGACAAGCTACCTTCCTTTTTTCATCGCTCATTTTCGGATGGAAAACGAAGATGAAGAAAAGATTGGATTGCATATGGTGATAGAGCTCACCAAGAGCTACGACCCACACATTGCGCTTTCTGGAAACATGTATTATAAAATTTCTAAAAATCTTTTTCCAAAAAAGTCCGAAAATGGTCGCGTCACAATGTCGCGGACAATAATTCTTCGAACGGGAAAATTTTCTGTTAGGTCTTTTCTTGGAGCAAAAACAGAAGTTATCCGGACAGGTAAGCATACTATATCGTAGAGCTCATCGAGGGCAATAATCGGGTAATGGTTCCTTACAAAAAAAACCCAAGCTTGAATTTTGTTTTGTTTTTTTTCCAAAAAGTAACTTCTAATTACCTTCTTCAAGCCAAATTTCTTCACATGGAAATCTATTCAAGGCATTCCAACAAGGCTGTTCGGATAAAATGAACACTCTTTGCCATCTTCTATGCATCGGACGTGCTGGTGAGTTTCTTTGCTGAAAATGGCTTTTGACAGTGCGTGCACATGACTCCACCTGCACCTCACCGCTGACTTGCACCGCTTTACAGGCTTGTATCTCGGCCGGCGGTCAATATACAAGCCTTCAAGTAGGCTCATTTGAAAGAGCGTGAATTCCTGGACACGATGTATGCAAAATAGTTGAGTATGAGAAACAGCTGAGATTTGGCGGATGGTGACAAAGCGCAGACTTAGAGCTGGATGGAGTGAAGGCTCTTATCAACACTACAACGGTTTTGGAGCTCCGAACTGGATCTATTACAAGAAAATTGACGGTTTTGAAATTCCAGGATGAAACTGGTGGCGAAAGAAGCTTTGCTCAACTTTAACTGAAGAATCCTTAGCCTATTACTGAAGCTGCGCTTCGTCTCCCCATCCGCCAAATCTCAGCTGTTTCTCATACCCAATTCTTTTGCAAAACATCTTGTCCAGGAGGTCACGCTCTTTCGAATGAGCCTACTTGCAGGCTTGTAGATTGACTGCCGGCCGAGATACAAGCCTGCAAAGCGGTGCAAGTCAGCGGTGGGGTGCAGGTGGATTCATGTGCACGCACTGTCAAAAGCCATTTTCAGCAAAGAAACTCACCCGCACACGTCCGATGCATAGAAGATGGCAAAGAGTGTCCATTTTATCCGAACAGCCTTGTTGGAATGCCTTGAATAGATTTCCATGTGAAAATATTTGGCTTGAAGAAGGTAATTAGAAGTTAATTTTTGGACAAAAGCAAAACAAAATTCAAGCTTGGGTTTTTTTTGTAAGGAACCATTACCCGATTATTGCTTTCGGTGAGCTCTACGATATAGTATGCTCACCTGTCCGGATAACTTCTGTTTTTGCTCCAAAAAAAGACCTAACAGAAAATTTACGCGTTCGAAGAATTATTGTCCGCGACATTGTGACGCTGCCATTTTCGGACTTTTTTGGAAAAAGATTTTTAGAACTTTTATAATACATGTTTTTCCAGAAAGTGCAATGTGTGGGTCGTAGCTCTTGGTGAGCTCTATCACTCAGATAATCGCCGGGGGCAGGCGGTCCGCAAACTCGCGCTTTTCTGCAGGCGGTCAGCAGGATTTCGGGGCGTGGCCAAATCTTCAGCGGGCGGTATTTGCGTTTTCTGCAAGCGGGCATCAATACAAAATTTTCTGCAAGCGCTCGTCAAACAATCTCTTTCAGCGAGCGCTGGCCAAACTTTCAGCAGGCGCTCAGACTCTTTTTACGCAGTTTCGGGCGTACGCCGAGTAAAGATGAGACTCTATGTGGCAGAGGTGCCATCGATTGTTTTATTACCCAAGTTTGGGGTACTTTCTTTCAGCGGAAAGTACCTGAGGGCTGTGCGGTCCTTCAAAAAGGACCGTGCGGCTCTCAATAATTTTGCATGTTCTCGCGGAAAGTCCGCGAGAATGCGGCCACTGTGCCGCAACTTATGTATAGAAAAACCGCGATAGATCTTCGAGCGTTCGTCTGAAAATTGGCCAAAATTATTCCAAATTTCTGCAAGCGGACCACAAAAAATCAGCGAACTATTTTTCCGGTGCCCGCTTGCTCAAAATTCGCATGGCCGCTTGCCCCCGGCGATTATCTGAGCACCATCAGAGGTGCGATAGGGGGAGCCAAGTCTCCCCCTACCTTCACTTTTGAGCTGGTACGGGGTGACCACCTTCACTTTTGGAATAAAAAATTTTTCGCTGGACGACAAAGAAGGAAAATAAGCAAAACAAACGCAAAAAAGATTATTGAAAGCATATATTTATGTATACGGCGGCATATATATTTAAAATAAAGGTTTTTAGTAAATGGTGTATTTGGAAGTAAAGCTTAGCAAAACTGTACGGATTTTATTAAGCAAATTTTGTCATAACATACTGCAAAGGAAGTAGGTCGATCCAGGCAGTAACGGCCGAGAACCAAAATTTTGAATAATAAAAAAGTGAAAAATCATGCAAAATTTCCACTGCTATAAATCTGTTGTTTGAAGATGTCAGCACTTGCGACTTCATAGGTTTCAAAGAGTAAATGGTGCTCTATCAGATCTATCAGTGAAGGAATCGAGTCGATTTGAGAGATAGTCGTCGAAAACGAGAATCCTAAAAATTTACGCCTTTTTTGCGTGTTTTTTGAGAGTTGACAGTTAAACTCATATAAATCTTGAATGTGAAAGTGTGTGATGTTGCGACTTCATAGGTTTTATAGAGTAAGGTTTGCCTTATCAGGATATATCCTAGCCGTTCCGATCCATTGAAACACCTCCGAGATCCAGAGTCTTGAAAAAGCAGGTAAAAAAGCGTTTTTTGAAATTCAACAGCCCATAACTTCTTCAGAACTGCATAAATCATGTTGCGACTTCATAGGTTAGATTCTGAGCTTTCAGACGATATATAATATGTGGGGGTTTAGAGCCTCCTGCGAATTATGACCGAGGGGGGAGACTTTTTAGGCCAAAGTCTCCCCCGGCAGCCTCCAGCCAATACATTAAAATGGGCGAGGGGGAGACTTTGGCCTAAAAAGTCTCCCCCCTCGGTCATAATTCGCAGGAGGCTCTAAACCCCCACATATTATATATCGTCTGAAAGCTCTTGACGAGAAGAATCTAACCTATGAAGTCGCAACATGATTCGTGCAATCCTGAAGAAGTTATGAGCTGTTGAAGTTCAAAAAGCTCTTTTTTACCTGCTTTTTCATGACTCTGGATCTCGGAGGTGTTTCAATGGATCGGAACGGACAAGACATATTCTGATAAGGCAAACCTTACTCTATAAAACCTATGAAGTCGCAACATCATACACTTCCACATTCAAGATTTATAAGAGTTTAACTCTCAACAGTCAAAAAACACGCAAAAATGGCGTAAAGTTTTAGAACTCTGGTTTTCAACGACTATCTCTTAAATCGACCCGATTCCTTCACTAGCTGATAGAGCAACATCTACTCTTCAAAACCTATGAAGTCGCAACTGCTGACATCTTCAAACAACAGATTTATAACAGTGGAAATTTCGCATGATTTTTCACTATTTAAATATTCAAAATTCTGGTTCTCGGCCGTTACTGCCTGGATCGATCTACTTTCTTCGCTGTACGTTATAACAAAATTTGCTTAATAAAATCCGTACAGTCCAACAAACTTCTACTTCCAAATACACCATTTACTAAACACGTCTATTTTAAATTTTTATAAATAAAATTTATAGATATTTTTAATATTCATCGTATCTGTGGCCCTAAAGAGGGCCGTTGGGTCGACGTTAGACCTAGAAAGATAGCTCCGTTCGTCCGTTCTATCCTCCCCCCGCACCTCCTCCCCCCCCCCCGTCGACGTTTTTGGGAGGTGAGTGTCCGACACTACCACCTTCACTTTTGGCCGGCCAGTGGTAGCTGAAACCACC